TCTGAATCAGTGCATCGTCACCAATTCACTGATTTTGATGGTTTATAACTTTTTTATTTTAAATTCAATTGAGTTTTATTTTTTCAATAATGAAAATGCAGATATGCGGCTTCATACAACTTATGACTGTTGTCGACAATAGACAAAATATTATATTTTATGAACAATTTAATGGCGCCACTCCAGTATATCCAGTATATTTTTGACTCTCTCAAAAAGTAATTTGGGCTTTCATACCTATTGTTTCACATACGTCAGATGTTTTGACGATTGTCAATTTTGACGGTCATGTGAGTGAATATATTCGTGTGGTTTTGCAATAACGTACCCAAAAATTAACGCTCGTAGAAAAAGTATAGTATGCAACAAGTGCAGTAAACGGCATTTGAGTCACGAGTTTATTTGGCACGAGCGGAGCGTGTGTTTAATAAACGAGTGACTTAAAACGTTTACGAAAATTGCATACTATACTTTTTCTATGACGGTTAGTCTTTAGGTACATTTTTGCAAAAAAAACACGAATATATTCACTGACAGAATTGACAAACGGCAAAATTCAAAACATCCGATTGCTCCCAAATCCATGCGGTAATATCCAGAAAATGTCAGAAGTGGCTCGAATCAGTGGGACAAGAAACTCACATGGTAAAGTGGCCGCACGCTAAATCGGTGAATAATTAAGTATTTTAAAGAAGGCAGTAGAAAAACTCTTTGAGTCACTCGTTTATTTAAACACCCGCTCCGTTGCGCTCCGCTGGTACCAAATAAGCTCGTGACTCAAATGCCGTTTGCCACACTTGTTGCATAATATATTTATGTCGCGTCAACATCACTTGTCATGCAAGACAAATTGCGAAAAATATGTATGAATGTTTGACAAGCCGAGGGTTATTTAAACAAGAAGCTTTAAAAGAAAAGTGCCAATATTCTCGATAAACGTTATTGTAAAGAATGAATTATTAAATGAAAGGGAAAACATAGTGATTTTCAATCGCACCGTCTAGATGATAGTGGACAAGATAACAAAAAAGAAAATATATTCCCTTTTTCGAAACCAAATTGTTCATTCATACTTACAATAAACAGATATAGCAGCTAGAAGATGAAACCAACATAATTGCTAGCCATGTCACCCTTAATTTATCTGGAATTTAAATACCACAAAATAGACACAAACAAATACCTTCAGGAAATCATAAATATAGATCCGAAAACATTATACATCATTTACCTAGATGAAACTTGACTTGATACACATGATGCTATAACCAAAGGAGGGATTGATTCCTGTAAAAAGTGTTAGATAAAAGCAATAAAGGAAAATGGGTCACCATAATTCGCTCTGGACTAGAAGATATGCGAACAATAAAGGGCTTGAACTATCATCATATTTATTTGTAAACTGGTTTTAAATTTATCTAGGGATCACAGCGCTAAGTAGAAAAGCTGAAATTCAAGAATATTTGTTACAAAATGATATTTATTTTGAATCCAACTACAAGAAAGAGCAACTTCTGGGAGTTTTAAATTCAAATACTATGAAAACAAACACAGTTGAGCTGAGGCATATTGTTTTACATCTTTACGTTATCCGGATAGAACATTAGTGGCACCAAATAAAATCAAATGTGAGAGCAGAAAATGTTACTCCTACTTTAGCCCCGACTGCAATAAATTTAATTAAAGATATAATTAATGATATTATTTTTACAATTAAAGTTAATGACGAATCTGACAGTAAAACAGATTATTAATATTAATTATTTATAATTTGTATGTATTATACCTAATATAATATTTAATATTTACATTTTCAAAACCTTGTTTGCTTGCTTTATAGACTAACTTTTGTAGGTTATAACCCGCTGCGAATTTGGGCACCCCGGTTCACTTTTGGTTAACTTAAAAATAGGTGTCAGGTTTCTAATTTAATTAATTTAAGTAGTGTAATTACGTTTGCATCATTAATCAATCAGATGTCTAGCAAAAAAAATGATTATCAAATCGAAATCTGGTTTCGGAGAAACTCGGAATAAATATTATCAAATTAGTTTATTTCTACATATAATCTCGTTCAACGCAAAAATTTTATGTTTCTGGACTACACGTTTTTAATTTATTCCATGTTAACTGCGGCACTGTTTAGTGTTAGATGTGGGGTTTCAATCAAATCAAATCAATTCAAATCATTTGAGATCGGTTTTTTGTTAAAAATTAAATAATTACTATCAGGGAAATTTTTAAAAACGTTCAAGTGTCAAAATCTTTTTTTAAACTGTCCCGAAAGTGACATTAAATTTTTTTTTAAACTTTTTGCATGTCTTTTATGACTTTTTCGTGATCATTTTGGTTTCCACAATAACGAAATAAATTGTCCAAGATTTACCGAAAAAACTAAAAATTTTGTTTACAGTACAGCACTGAAACGATTTCAAAAATAATGTATGTAACACGCACCGAAAGTGCAATTATACTGGACTAATATATAGTTTGTGACCCCTTTCAAAGCAATAATTTAGCAGCATTGACTGAAACATCACATCCCTTTGGTGTCAGATGTGGGATTTTTGAATGATTAATAAACGATGCCTCGCGTGATAATTAAATAATTATTTTTTTAAGTGTGATTTAACCACGGGTTTGCATGTTGAATACTATTTGTGCAATATTCAACCGGCGGTAATGGTCGCTATTGTCGGTGCACGAAAATCTATCGTTAATAATTGTAAATGGAAACAATGCTCCGATATAAAAGGGCTAGGCTAAGGTCAACTTAAAATATCGGCGAGACAATTCACACTAAATGGATATCCGATAGTAGACACAAAAAGTGATCGCGTGTAACCTTATATTACCAATTTTTTCGATACGCGTACCTATAGTTAAATAAAATCACTGCCACATTGTATTAACACGCCGAAAAACCCAATACATTTGATATCGTTCGTTTTGATTTCAGCGAACCGATATATATTCGTTCACAATTAAAAACCTACTGCTTGGTCATTTAACGAGAGCAAAAGTTTTAAAATTAATTTGTACGTCGTAATTTCGCCAAAATTTATTTTACACTCTATGAAAAACGAAAAGTAATAATTTGCCTATAATTTGGTCGCCTAGGTCACTGACACTGCTGCAATTTAAAATACTTTTTTAAAATTTTTAAATTTTAAAAAAGTATTACTAAATAAAATAAAAGTATTAATTAAGTTTTTAAGTTTATGTATTAATAAATTAATTTAAATTTATTAAAAGATATATAGGATGATTCGTAAATAATGATTGAGCTTAGCATAACTTATAATGGGTGTTTTTTTTCGATGTATAGAACTTTAAGTTGGCATTACTGTTCAAGATGGCGACCGATTTAAGAGCTGTCAAGTGATTTAGTCTCAGTTTGCTTTGGCAATTTATCATGAATAGACTCACACCTGAACAACGCTTGCAAATAGTGCAATTTTATTTCGAAAATAATGGTTCTGTGCGAAATACGTATCGCGCACTACGTCCATTTTATCGTTGACAAAATTGTCCATCAGTGCAGTTAATTTGATTAACCATGGAACGTTTTCGCACCACGTTTACTCTTATTGATAACTCGCATCCCCAGAGACGCCGTACAGAAGAAACTATTGCTGCTGTAGAGCGTAGCATTGAGAAAGACCCGAATGAGTCCATCCGCCATCGAGCACAGGAATTGGATCTGTGTCCATCCACTTTATAGAAGATTTTGATTTAACTCTTCCATTCCTGAATTGAATAACCATGATGTCCAGATGTGGTTTCAACAAGACGGCGCAACATGTCACACAGCTCGTGTCACAATCGATTTATTGAAAGACGTTTGGTGACCGCCTAATTTCACGTTTTGGACCTGTGAATTGGCCTCCAAGATCTTGTGATTTAACACCGCTAGACTACTTTCTGTGGTGCTATGTAAAGTCATTGGTCTATGCGGATGAGCCACAAACAGACGACAACATTCGCCGTGTTATTGCTGATATACGGTCACAAATGTTGGAAAAAGTAATCGAAAATTGGACTTCCGGATTGGACTACATCCGCGCCAGCCATGGCGGTCATATGCCAGAAATCATATTTAAAAAGTAATGCCACAAGACTGTCTTTCGGATAAATAAAATTCATGTCAATCGAATAATCCATCGTTGTTTTATTGCAACTTAAAGTTCTATATAAATAAGGATGAGATTACTTGCATTAGAGAAATAATCCTCTCGTTTTACTTAAAAAGAGAAATAACCACCTTGGACAAAGTAATATCTGAAATAAAAAAGGATGATTATTCCACCCGTGAATAAGAAGAGATTGTTGAAAACTTTGAAAGAAATACATTTTCGTTACGAATGAACGCATAACAGATAATCACTTTTAATAGAAAAAGAATAGAGACACCGCATGTTGAAACACTCTTACAAAAGCGAATAAACACAGTGGATTGTAAAAAATTGAGTGTGGAGTGGAAAGTGGAAATAGGAGAGAACGTGGGAAGCCGATAACATGCTGGAAAACACTATAAACACACACATCTGACTACTAGAAACATGGTGACTGACATTTACAAATGAAGTTGTATTGTAAATGGTAGATGTATTTAAATAATAAAAATTATTACAATTTATCTGTTTTCATATTATTTTTACTTCAATCGAAGTTTTTATTTACTTGATCTGATAATTGTTATTGTATTTATTATTCTAATAAATTATCTGTAGTTACACAGCGGTCATATTACTCCCATTCACCAAACTCGTATTTCTATTGCTGTAGATGTTGAATACTGAACTACGAAATTTATTGGAAACTTTCATTGCAATTTATCTGAACTGTACTACTATACTGAATATACTACTATTTACATACTTAGATGGTATTATTTAGATAAATTTAATCACATTTTTCAATCTGTTTTTTGCAAACATAATGAAAATGTGAAAGCATGTTTAAATTTTCATTAAAAAAGGCACGCTTGTTTAGGCCGTCTAACTCTGAAGATATTTAACTTATTTCATTTAATAGATGATATTTGGAGCAATAAAAAAAACAAATATATAACAATAACAATTTTGATAATAGTAATTAAAAATTTCATTTCAAATGTTGTCGAACACGATCTACCTCAATTCATTTTACAATACTTGAAGTTTTGTTGTTACTATTACCAAAGATGTTGATGTAAAACAATGGTTTTTATTGCTCCCCGTACGTTTTCATCTTTTAAATATTTATTTAAAAAAAAAAGAGAAAAAATAATGTTAACTCAATCTCTCAATCATAACATTTTGGTATCTAGTGCCTCCAGTTGAGAGATCTCGCCTTCTTTATGAATCACCAGGTATAGCGTTTAAAAAATGACGACTTCGGTTCAATATCAGGCAAAAATGATGTATCAAGAACTAAAAACTACCCTTCATTCTTACCAGCGTATCATACAATCGTTGTCAGCTCTTCTCTCAAATGTCGGAATGCTCAAACCTAACAAAGAATGACACTTTTAGTATTTTAACTGGTTTCGCTTGATAGCAATAACTATTCCAATGCAAATTTAATTTTGAGACAGTAGTATAATAGAAATACCGAAAAATTCTACACCTTGAAAAAGTCCCATTTTAAGCAGCGCAGTTTTAGTAAAATATGCCTCTTGATAGTACAATATTGCGAAATTGGACCACGGTTGGTCTTTGTGTACGCCGTAAGCCAAAAGTAATTTCGCATATACGTCATCCGCTTAACGTTAACGTTAATGGGATTTTTTTTCTTTGGACCTCTCAGAAATTTGCATCAAGGCATTTTTTAAAATCAGAATTAAAGTTATAATCTCAAATAAATTTCATGATCTTTTCATGGTACGGAATGTCCCTGTAAAACAATTTTCTGTGTCAGCAGTGTAGTTAGAGTGTAACGAAATGCTAAAGAAAAATGGAATGCGTGTGTGCTGAACATGCAACTTGTATTGAAATCTAAGGTACAACTGACTTACTTTGTTCCTCCGTTGAATGATCGAAAATAAAATTTGTCAAATTAAATTAAATAAAACTCACCCCATGTTAAGGGCAAAAATTCACGTCTGCAAAGCTGAGATTTCCCAGATTTTGAAGCAGCCACAAAATATATCACGGCACCGCCGCTGTTAATTTCATTTTCGTAAGTGGAAAAAAAAGTATCGATTCATAAAAACCAGTTTGCCTTTGTAATAATACACAAAAATAAATCCGAATTACGGACATCTCACTCACACTATGAAGTGATAGACGAAACATTTCCAGTTGTCAGGCCTTTCCAGAAAGTTGTAGACCTGCCCTTGAAAGGTCGCCCTTCCGGCGATTTTCCTATGTTGCTTTGATGCGTATCGAGCGGCGTCGCCCCATTTCGGGGGACTTTCCAGCAAGAGGGTAGCTGGATTAAGTCCTTGGCAGGTTGAAGCATCGGGCTGGACTAAAAAAATATACTAATCTTTACGCGCTTCAATAGAAGTTCTTGTTCGTCAAATCGCAACGAAACGGCAAAGTATACTTTTCAAACTGTAAGAGGATATGTAGGGAACTATTTGGATTAGAGAATCGTTTCAAATTCATCAAAACTGATATCTGAATGTCACGATAAATGAGTTTAATATGCTACTGTATTGTTTATTTGCTACATGCCTGCTTCTAATGGTGTTTGTAACAAATGTTGGTTACTTCTATCGCTGAGTGGGCTAGGCGAGGGAGTACTTCCTACCTCTACGATGGTCACAGATAATTGAGAACGACCTAAAACATTAAAAGACTGTTTTTATTTCGCACCACTCTTCACATCTTTCTATGAAGCTGATATTTTCATCAGTTGATATGTGTCCAAATGATGTAAAAGAAAATCACTAAAATTAAATTAATATTAACTTTAATTTAAAATTAAAAACTGTATGTTTATGGGTATAAATTTCAAAGTGGCCACGGAATTTATGCAACTTCGACTATATAAAAGAATTTGGCCCATTGTTTAATTAACGAGAACTAATTTAGTCGATCTGAATAATACTTAAAAAATTGGAATCACATTCATCCATCATCTATCAAGTGCACAATACAATTTTAATCGAAAGATAATTCAATGGGACTAGAAATTGAATAAAATGGCCACTTCCAATTAACACTTGATTAGTTTGTTACGTTATAATTATTCTCTGTTATAAAGAGGTCAAAGAGCTCCTGTAAAGTTCATTTACATCTATTTAGAAAACTAAAATACTCGATTTGGATTGGATTCGACATATAACTCTGCTATTTTGGTCAAGTAATTAACATAAATGGTTATATAAAATTAATTAAAACCGTTCTTGATTGACAGAAGTTAGATTGTTTTAAAAAACCTGAAATATCGATGTTCTCTATGTTTCATTCACCACACTGAACTCTAGCACGTTGATGATACACAAAGCTTTTTATCGATTAATGACTTGATCGAGTAAAAACCATTCCGTGCGAAAAAAGGGAATGGATTCCGGAAAAATATTAATTAGATGCGAAAACGGGGCACGAATTTTGATTTATAATACGCCCAGCTATTTTGGTACGCAAATGTGCGTTGTCAGATCTATATCATCTTAACACGAAAAGTCGTAATTGGAAAAAATATAACGACTGGCTCCAAATAAAAAACTGAATTAAACAATAATCACTAAAGGCACACCATATAATATGTATCAATGCATGAATGACATCGAATGATATCCGTTTTATACTATAGAATGATGTTACTTTGTTCCCGCCTTTGTTATACCAATAATTAAAACTTACCTTTACCTTTAAAGAGGTGTAATTATAACTGAGAAAACTCCTTGAAACGCTGTTTTTATGTAATATTTGAAATGTTTCGTGATTCATACAAATGATCTGTCAATGGTGTGTGTTGACTAATGGTGATGACGTTGAATTTACGGAAATTCTAAAATCTAATAACAATTAGAGACGACCGGACTGAGGTGGCTTTTAATTGATGAAAATCCATTTAACACAAATTAAATTAGAACAACAAATGTTCAGATTTTCACAGTTTTTAAAGATTTATGACATCTGTTTCGGCAACATCGTGCCTTTATCAAATACCAAGTATTTTTAATCATATTAACTCGATACATAACACACATACCATAGAGACGGAACAAGATAACTCTCAAAACTTTCTGGACTTAACTATAACTAAACTACAGAACAAGTTAGATTTTTTTATTTACATTTTTTTTCACATTTACCATAAACCCTCACATATGGAAACAATAATACATAATTACTCAAATCAACCTTAAACACACAAAATCTCTGCTTTTTATGCATTTATCAACAGACTACTTACTACTTTCTGCAGAATATTTTGAAAAAGAATTAAATATTATAAAGCAAATAGCTTTTAGAATGGTTACAACCCCTCTTTGATAGATAATATTGTAACTAAAAAGCAGTTTCAAATAACTCTGAACTCTATCTATCCCATATTAAACACCAAAAACAAAATTTATAAATCAATCAAATACATAGGAGAACCCAGCAAGAAAATTTCGAAACATATATCTAAATTTAGTATTAATATTTGTTTTAAGACTGAAAACATCATAGGACATTTTTTTAAAAGCAATATAAGTAAATTACGAAAAACTCAAAAATCCGGAGTCTACAAGCTGAAATGTGGATCTGGTCCAAAATTTATATCGGACAAACAGGTAGAACATTTAAGAAACGCATTAACAAACATAAAAGGGCGTATAAAAATAAAAGTTCGGATTCTAACTATGCCATTCATTTAAATTCAGAAATGCACAACTTTGACGATAATTTTGATATTTTACATAATCATTCAAAAAGCAAAAAATTGAGTTTGTTGGAAGCTATGGAGATTAACAAAATGAGATATTCGAATCTATTACTTAATGGCCAATTGGATTTAAATGCGTCTTCGTTGTTAAATTTAAATTTATAACCCTATACCTCCAATTAAAAATCTGTTACTACTATATACAAGTGTCGGAATATAGTCATATTTTGTGTTTGATAAAGGCACGGTGTTGTCGAAACAGCTGCCATAAAGCATTAAAAACTGTGAAAATCTGAACATTTTTTGTTCTCATTTAATTTGAATTAGAAACGGTGTGATAATATTCATGTTTGCACTGTTTTAAATGGCGATTCAATTAAACTTCTTGGCCGAAGTTTACGATATGTTAGTTTTCACACTTTATATAAATACATAGATGACGTAAAAGATATAATGAACGGAATTTGAACTAGATGCTATAGGATGTAAAAAATAAACGAATATATTTCGATCATCTTAAATTGAATTATTAAATTAAAATTATAAATAAAATGATTGTTTTTTATGAAAGATCTTATAAAAAGCTACAACTATTATTAAGCATGTTGCGATTTATCTTAACTTTTTCAATATTTACCATTCTGAACTGAGGTGGCTTTCACTTGACACCTTTTAAAAGATTAGAATTAATAAAAACACTTTGAAAATTGGAAAATTATAAAAATAAATGAAAAAGACTTAAAAACTTAAAGATTTTCAAAATGAATTTAAACATCATTTCAAATTTAAAAATTTTAAAAACGGTTTTAAAACTTGAAAATAAAGCTTTTAAAATTTTAAGGTTTTAAAACCAACTTAAGCACCTTTTAAAATTTGAAAATTAATAAAAACGCTTTTACAATTTGAAAATGAATTTAAAAGTGAAAGATTTTTAAAATGACTTTGAACCCCTTTTCAAATTTTAAAATAAATTTTAAAAAATCTAAATTTGGAGTGAATTAGAATGCCTGTATAATTTTAAGACTTTTAAAATGAATCTAAAGACCCTTTAAATTTTTTAAATGAACACTTTTTAAACTTTAAGATTTTAAAATTAATTCAAACACCTTTTAAAATTAGAAAATTAATAAACAACATCAAAAGATATGGAAAATAGTATTCGGAACGCGTGCAGTAAAATAACACCGCCTATGCTAAAGAACATCCAAGAAAATATATGAAAAAGACTAAACATGTATATCCTAGTTGAAGAGCATATTTTTGAACAATTATTACGCCGTAATAATAATTAAAAATAAGATAAGTTATTTTTTAGTAATAAATATTTTCGGTGAATTTAAAGTTTACCTTTTATTTTCACCAAAATTACTAATAACTGTGTTTGTTTTATCCACGACTCCAACAAAGTTGTTTCTCCTGTCCATTTTTTAATCTCAACAGAGCCCTGGTGACTAATATTGTATTGTATAATATAGTAATAGTCTTAGATAAAAGGAATGGTAAATATTGGAAATGTTAAAATAAGTCGCCAAATATTAAAAGTAAGTATATATGACGTACTTAATAAGTTGGAGGTTTTTTTAAGATGTTTCAGAAAAAATAATATTTATTGTGTGTCATTTAAGAAAATCGAGATTTTTCAATTTTAAGTTATCCAAATATGTTGATTTATCTAATTCATATCCGTTACGTCATCCTGGAACAACGCTAATTTCAAACATGAGTGATCTACCTTTAAAAATAAGGACACTCACGTGTGAAAACTACAATTTTTTTAGAAAACTTATAATATTACAAAAATTATTGGGTTTAGTTAAGATTATTGTTAATAAAAGAGTTGAAGAATTTCAAAACGAATTCAAAACAAAATAAAAAATATATACATAATTTATAATTAACTTTTATATTTAACATTTTCTCATAATTTTTGAAAAACAATGAGATAATGAACTCTTTAAACAATTTAAAATAATCATTACTTGCAAGTTTTCGAATATCAAGTTGAGAAGAAGAGAAGATGCATCAGGACTGGTCTTATTTATTTTTTTTTTTGGGTCACGGTAAATAGCGCTCTAATCCCCAATATAAAAACGATTTATTCTCTTTGGAAAAAATAGCAGTCCTTTTAAACAAAATTTCATCTTATAAGTCATGAACATGCTTACTTAACATCAACATCCTTACTCAATACAGAATACAAAATGAACCAAGCCACTGCCCAACCGAACACAAAAATAATGCGATTACTTAACGTTTAATTAAAATCTAAATAACTAAATAATAAAAAATAATAAGTTCAACGTCCTTGTCTTGTATTGATCCATTTATTCATTCTTTGTTTTCTGGTTTTTGTATCTAGATTTATTGTACGGTTACTATGTTGAAATTAGTAATAATAATATGTAGGAAATATTATCTATTTGTTGGGGACAAAATTCATAACTCCTTTTAATTTCCTTCCTATTCCTTCTTATTTCTTTTACGCGACCACTAGTGTTGAATATTTTTTTGCAAAACAAGTGGCGTGTGACGTGATCATCAGAACTGACGTCAAAATGACTAGACTGTCGTCTAGTAACCTTTTCCGTTGATATAATAGAATATGACATTATACAAAGTTACAAAAAAATAAGTCAATGCGTTAAGTACATATCCTTAACAACAAGGCTTTTCTTATGCAAATTTAGATTTGCTATGTTGTCAATATACAGATGAAAGTTAACTTTTTAAAATGATAGTCTATTAATATATTTATTAATTCAACTGTAACTTGTGTAAAAATACTTGTCACAGAAACTTCAAAATTTTTGCAAGAGCCAGAAAATTAGACAAACCATCAACTTAAAATAGGCATAGAGTTATTCCCCGTTTTTTTATAGCATCTTTGAGGTTTTTGCCAACAACCGTGGAGAAACTATCATACTGCCCTGATATACCTACACCGAATTTCAAATAGACCTCT